CCCAGGAGTTGGAGGTTGCTGTGAGCTGTAATGCCACGGCCCTCTACCCAGGGGGACAGCTTGAGGCTCTGTCTCAAAAAAAAAAAAAAAAGAAAAAAAAAAGAAAAAGAAAAAGAATTCTCATTAACTTGTAGCATAATGCTTATGGATCATATGACACCTAATTAATTTAACATATTAATTTGACAAATTTAGGTTTGAACATTTGATAAAAATACTACAATTCTCTTTTCTCTGGACACATTCAATGATTTATTGACTTACTGGTATATTTTTAATTTCTGTGCATGCAGTTGAATGATAAGGAAGAAGCTTTGGCCCATCAGAGAAAAGTTAGTTACATGCTTGCTCAGGCATTGGAAGACAAAGACGCTGCCTCAAAAGAGAATGAAGAAAAAAATGCTATGAAAGAGAATTCTCCATTCAAAAATCCCTGGCATAAAACGTCAGAATTCTCTGTTTTACACGATCCTTTAAATTCAAGTGTACAAATTTTTAATTCAGCAGGTTACATTTGTTCAATCCCGCGCTCTCAAGCAGATCCAAACTATACAAGAACTCTTAAAAGATCCCATTCTTTGCCATCAAGCATCACATTTTGAAGACAAGCCAGCTGAAATTAGAACTGAGAAGTGTTTATATCAACAGATCTGAAAAAGGATTGTATAAATGTTGCTATATTTTGAGTTGTATGTTTCCCAGGTATTTCTAAATTTTAGGAGGCAGCTTAATCAAATGCTTTCTATATTTTGTACAAGAAATTATTTAGCCTACCATGTCAGCTACTCAGGAGGCTGAGGCAGGACAATCACTTGAGCCCAGAAGTTTGAGGTTGCACTGAGCTGGCCTGAGGCCATGGCATTCCATCTTTGGGCAACAGAGTGAGACTCTGTCTCAAAAAAAAAAAAATTACTTGGTATTCTGTGTTGACAAATTAATAAGTGATATCACTGCAGATTATGAAGTTTTCAGTGTTTGCCAACATCTTAAAATCAAAATGATTTTTGGAGAAAGCAAAAAATTATTTAACTACAGTAGGACCTTTGTAAGTTGACCACCCATAGGACTGTAACAAACTGGTCAACACACAGAGGGAGACAACGTAAGGAGCTGTCTACTATACTGAAACATATATGTGCTACTATCCAGTCTATGAAAACTCAGTCAATTTAAGGAGGTGGTCATTGTAGGAAGGTCAACTATGGAGGTTCTACGGTACTTAGATTGACTAAAGGGATCTTAGGGATCTTAGATGGGCTAAATCAGCATGTAGTTGTTTTTTTTTTGGAGACAGAGTCTCACTATGTCGCCCTGGGGCATCATAGCTCATGGCAACCTCAACCTCTTGGGCTTCAGCCTCCCAAGTAGCTGGGACTACAGGTACCCGCCACAATGCCCAGCTATTTTTTGGTTGTATTTGTCATTGATATTTGGCAGCCCCGGTGTATGTGGCCGGTGCCCTAGCAGCTGAGCTACAGGCACTGAGCCATCAGCATGTACCTTAATCCTCTAAGAAGTAACAATGCCTAGGAGTGACTGAATATTAAATTTTGAAATATATTTATCTTGTTTTATTTGCCTTTTGGGGGATTTTTTTCATATACCATATAAAGTTTAAAAATAACAATTTTCTTGGCCAGATGACTGAGAGGCCAAGGTGGGCAGATTGCTTGAGCTCTGGAGTTCGAGACCAGCCTGAGGAAGAGTGAGATCATATCTCTAAAAAAATTAGCCCAGCATTGTGGCAGACACCTGTAGTTCCAGTTGCTTGGGAGGCTCAGGCAAGAGGATTGCTTGAGCCCAAGAGTTTAAGGTTGTGAGCTATGATGCCACAACACTCTACATAGAGCAACAAAGTGAGACTCTGTCTCAAAAAAGCCAACCAAACAAACATTAAAAAACACCACCACCAACAAAAATAGTTTCTTAAATTAACTTCAATGGAAAGGCTGTGATGGTAGGAATTTGGCAGAAATACATTCAGAGTCATTGCTAGTTATCTTCATAATTTGTTTTTGGTCAGAGTCTAAACATTTTATAGTTCGTAGCCAGATTTTTTTTTTTTTTTAGAGACAGAGTCTCGCTTAGTTGCCCTCCATCGAGTACCATGGGATCACAGTTCACAGCAACCTCTAGCTCTTGGGCTTGAGGCGATTTTCTTGCCTCAGCCTCCTGAGTAGCTGGGACTACAAGAGCCCACCACAAAGCCTGGCAATTTTTTTATTGCACTTTGGCCTGGGCCGGGTTTGAACCTGCCACCCTCAGTATATGGGGCCAGTGCCCTACTCACTGAGCCACAGGCGCCATCCTGTAGCCAGATTTAATTTTTTCTTTTTTTTGAGACAGAGCCTCAAGCTATCCCCTTGGGGTAGAGTGCCATGGCATCAGAGCTCATAGCAACCTCCAACTCCTGGGCTCAAGTGAGTCTCCT